CATTTTTTATTATGCTGTTAAGATGTGTTAAAACTTGACAATTGGGTTTAATTATTGAATGAAAAAATGATATAAATGTTTTACGTTTAATTTAAAATCTCAATAGTCATATAATGAATCCATTACATAAGTTTATTATATATATATTCAAAGCATGGCACACATTTTTTATTATGTTACCTAGACATGTTAAAGCTTGGAAATTAGGTTTTGTTATCAATTGAAAATTTTTTTTGATAAATTTCGAAAATTTTTTACTTTGACTTTTAAAGCTAATAAAATTATTAATTGTAAACAAATCATTATAAAACTCAAGTATGTTATAGGAATCATTACGAAGATTGATTTTTGCTTAATACACAAAAGAGATTGTGATAATAAAATTTTGAGTTATTTTTATTTCACTTTGTTCAATTATTTCCGGCGATCTGCAAAATTGCCAACACTTATTATTATGGCAGGTGAGTGTATTTAAACCCTGTATATCTGTAGGATTTTACCCACCTATTCCTAAGTTCATTATTAGTAGTTGTTATGGCTATTATTATAGCAATATGTTCTATTGACTTCTGTCAATGAATAGCTTGCATTTCACCTATTTTATGTTGATGTGTCTAGTTTCATTATATTGCGCCAAATTTCTTCAACACTTATTGATCAGCCTATTGCTCACAAGGATATCAATTAATTTAATCATCAAAACAGGCATGAATATTGATATAGACTAAGTTGATGCTTACTTTATAATTTTTTTCTTTTTTAAATATAAGTTTATATAAATGACTGAATTTTTTCTTAGTGATGGATCAATATCAAAACAGTCAGTCTTGCCATTCAAAAAGAATATAGTTTCGCCTTATTATTTAAACATTCATCATTTTAATCTATTGTTTAATAATAACTAACTAGAGCTTGGACTAAATGAAATAACAGTTATGATGATACTGTGCCTTTAATTTTTACCTTTTATATATCCATTTTTGCTTTTCAAAACATGAGCATAATAGTGGTGTTGTACAAAGATAACCCCTTTTTTTGGAGTGTTGAAGAAGCATTCATTAATATTAATACTCTATTTTTTTTTAATAGCCAAATAAATGTGGAGCAAAACCTCATATTATATAGTAATAGGTAATTATATAGGATTCCTTGTTGGTATATTTGTTTTGCATAATTATTATTAACATTAAATGGTTACAAGAACATAACCATCAAAGATCTCTTTACTCTTGCTCTCTCATACACACATGGAAAACTGCCCTTGGACAATCTGGAAACACCAGAAACAATTCAATATGCAGCACTTTACAGATATTCAGGGCTTGAATATTTAAAACATTACAATCATTCACATCTTCCTTGCATAAATTAGGCCAATCTGACTTGATCCCCAATGATATAATGATATAAATAAACTTTAGGGTGGTGCTGCCCTGGAGTTTATTAATCACATTGTTGTCAAGAAGAGTGTTAAAGCCTTTCACTTATCTAAAGCCTTCCAACTTATTCAAATTACCTTCACTTGCAGGAACTCCATAGTTATGAAAGAAAAATTTTATTGAGTCCGACACTTATTATCAGGGTTGACATTAGAGATGGATATTATAATATTAAATGCAGGATCAACATTATCACAACACTTTCACTCAAGCAACCACAATTCAATTACTGACTTAAAATGACAACTGACCACTAAGGCTGGATTCCTATTTTTTTTTAGTGTCATACTAATAGGGTTTCTATTCTTTGAATGTGAAAAAATGAATAAATGAATATTCAAATAAGAATTTGTATTATGAATAGAAACTCTACAATCAATATTTTTAAATTTATATTTTAATTGATAAAGAATTTAATTATATTAAAATTCCTATTTGTTAATACTAATACAGCCAGACCTTGCTCATTTCAACAAATCTATGAGACACCAAAATTACTAATCGCATCAATCGTGTTTCAATAATTTTTAAAAATTTGTTGTAATGCGAATTTAATAAATTAATTATAACTCATTGAAACAAGGGCTATTATATTGTTTATATTAATATTAATAATGATAAAATATAATTTATGATTCATTGTTTTAAATTTAAACAATAAACACAACAATGATGAATGATGATAATTGCATTGTTGAAAATGATGATGCTTCTTCAATAACTTCTTCAACAGGCACAGTGTAATATGTTAAGAGAAGAACAAGAAGTGAAGTGTGGAAACATTTGGCAGTTGTAGATGGAAAGGCCAAATGCAATTATTGCACTAGGTAAATATTTTCTTTGGCTTGAAACCATTTATTTCCAAAGGAAACACTTGTTTTTTATTTTTTTCAATTGTTAATTCTATTTCATTAATTTTTTGAACAACTAACTTAAAGTTTTCTTCAGATAAAAGAACTTCATCTTCCGTAAATTCAACCTCAATATTTTTTATAGGAATATTTTCATTTATATTTTTTGTTTCATCATTTAACTTCCTATGTTTATTTGGTTCAATGTATTTCATATAATGAGGATGACAAAGTTGATCATTAGGTTTTAAATAATTCACACTTTCATAGTCTGGATATTCCTTTAATTTGTGAAATTATCAGTGTTGTGACCCGAAACTCTGAGTTTAGGGAAAACCAGAAACAGAAACCACCCGAAACTAGTTTATGTTAGTATTTTATGTTTAGATTTAGTTTTAGGTTTAGTTTTCTGCTTAGTGTAAGTTCATTTTCCAAAACATTTCAGGAAGCCAAAAGAGTTTCTGGTCACAACACTGGAAATGATAGGTCTGTTATTTTTCTGAACATAACTTGTGTATTTTTACAATCAACAATTGCACAAGGACCAAGGTTTTGATTTTTTCTAAACATTTTTTTACAATAATTAATATTTTTGGTTTTATTTTAAAATGGTATATTAATAATTTTTAATTTTATTGTTTGAATTTGAATTTCTTTCCTGCTGGTGAAGTGTACTGTCAGTGAAGTATCCTTGTCAGTATTTACAATTTTTAGAGATTAAACAAGAATATCCTTGAAGTGTTGAACATGAAATATTAAAATGTGAAAAGAATTCCTCTTGGAGTGTAAAATATGAAAATAATTCCTTTTGGAATGTTAAATGTGAAAAAGGAGTGTTAAACAGCATAGTGGACATCCTTATAATTGGTAATGATTTTCATTGATCATATTTTGATTTTATCACGCAAAAAAGCAAATTGATTGGCCCAAATAAATTACACAAAATTTTAAATTTTATTTTTTAATGAAGCTTCAACTAAATAAATTCTTGCGTGTATCTTGCTAACCCAATTATGAAAAAGTGTGCAAGTTTTATCAAGTATATATTGGAAGCAAATTTTTATTTATCTTATTTGAGGCATGGACAATAGAAACAAGGCCAACATCTATCAATCATAAATAACGTTTTTTATTAGTGTGTACTTATCTAATATGTAA